ATTTGAAAAATTAAGTTAGAATTAGAGAAATTAATTTGCTGTTATAAGAATTAATTTGAAAATGAAAAATTAAAAAATACGATGGATTATTGGAAAATTTTTGAAATTTTTTGGAATTTCAGTGAATTTTTTTTAGAATTAGAGTTAGTTTATCGAGTGAAGTAGAGGTTTTCTTTAATTACGCTTGGAGCTGAAATATGGCAACGAAATGAGAATAATGAAACCGGGGAAAAGCTGGTTTTTGGAAGGAAGGCTGCGGTAAAGAAGTTATCGGTATTGCGCCGAAGCAAATGGAGAACATCTGCTGAAATCTGGAACCGCAATACTAAGACAGATGTTGATAGCGCTCTTGCTTAATTTACCGGTCCATTGCTGAAGTGAGGAACAAACCGTGCTCGCTGATAAATCTAAGGCGTGAGGAATGAGTTATTACCACATCGACGCACCACCAAACTGACGAACTAATTAAATATTCTGCTTCATTTCGGTTTTCGGTGCGTTACAACACCCCAAATCTCTCCCGAGAGAGAGACGAAAAATATTACCCACTCCCAAACGACGCTGTTGTTGATTTTCATTTGCAAAACACAGCAATTGTTTAAATGAATGCGACAAACTAAAATCACAAACAACATCGAGAAAGTCAATAAACGAAATTACACTAACAATGAACAGTGTTTTCAGAATGTAATGTATTATTACAAATGGTGAAATTAAATTGCATTACCTGAATCAGAAATAAACACATATGTTGAATTTACATTACAACTAATTACAATTCCAAAAAAATTCCACTGAATTTCTAGTAATTCCAAAAAAATTCAAAAAATTTCGCATTAATCTATCGTAATTCCATTATTTTCAGATTAATTCCAGTAATTCAAAAAAAAATCCAAAAAATTCCCAATAATTTATTGTAATTCCGGTTTACAGATTAATTCCTATAATTACAAATTAATTCCTCTAATTCCAATTGAATTTTCCAAATTACTGATATATTTTTGACCAGTCCAGCTTTTTATGATTTCAAAAACATTTCTCACTTTTAGTTCACTTTTGTTTTTGATTTTATTGTTGAAAAAATAAAAAATTTTTATTTTAATTACACAATAATATACTTCTTAGGTATGACTAATGAGAGTCTCTTAGTTTTTATATCTAGTAAAGTACGAAATCGCTAAATTAAATCTGAATCAATTTTGAGCGAGATTTTTGTTAAAACAAGGTAGAAAATCGCTGAATAGGAGCTCGAAATGTATTGTTTTTAACTATTTTCCTAAATTTAGAGTGTTTTTTAAAGAGAATCGTAAATTGTGTTTTTCCGTTTTTTTCTATGATTTTAAAGTTTGATTTTACATGTGTAAAATGTTTGTGTAAAATATGATTTAACAGGATTTTTTTAATGGAAAAATTCATCAAATTCAAAAGTTTTTGCCAAAACAAAGGAGAAAATTGAACTTGGTTTAAAATGTATTTTTTTCTATAAATTTTGCAGAATTTTTTTTATCGAGAAACTCACAAAATTTAAGCAGTTACATTATTTTCGCTTTTTTTGGATATATTCACAAATTTTTCAAAAATTATTTATTTATTATGTGTTTTCTCAATCATAAATAAATAGAGTAGAACACATATTACAACCAATTCCCAAACAAATCAAAAAATTTCCCAAGAATCCATCGTAATTCTATTATTTTCATATTAATTTAATTATTTAATTAATTATTATTTAATGTAATTATTATTTAATTATTATTTAATTAATTCCAGAATTTACATTACAACTAATTTTAATTTCAAAAAAATTCCACCGAAATTTTAGTAATTAGAAAAAAAATCAAGAAATTCCTCAATAATCTATCGTAATTCTATGATTTTCAGATTAATTCCTATAATTACAAATTAATTCCTCTAATTTCACCTTAATTTTTAAACTTACTAATATATTTTTGACCAGTCAAGCTTTTTATCTTCGAAAATTTTCTCACTTTTGTTTTTGATTTTATTGTTGAAAAAATAGAAAATTTATATTTTAATTACACCATAATATACTTCTTAGGTAATGAGAGTATCTCTGTTTTTATATCTAGTAAAGTACAAAATCGCTAAATTAAATCTGATTCAATTTTGAGCCAGATTTTTGTAAAAACAAGGTAGAAAATTGCTAAATAAGAGCTGAAAATTTATTGTTTTTAACTAAATTTAGAGCATTTTTTTCACAGAGAAACTTACTATAGTAACAAAATTTAGAAGACCAGACACAAAAATGCAAAATTTAGTCTAAATTGTGTTTTTCTGTTTTTTTTTTTGATTTCAAAGTTTGTTTTTACATTTGCAAAATGTTTGTGTAAAATATAATTTAACAGCGTTTTATAATGGAAAAATTTATCAAATTAGAAAATTGATAAACTAGTTTTAAAATTTATTATTTTTAATAAATTTCGCAGTTTTTTAGCGAAAAACTCATTAAATTGAAGCAGTTTTAATTAAGTTATATTCGCCTTTTTGCAGTCAAGCGCTTCTTATGATTTGTTTTTGATTTTATTGTTGAGAAATTAGAAAATTATTACCTTACTAAAACGTGATAGCTTGACAATGACAATGTGGCTCACACTCTTCAAGAAATCTGTATTTTTTTGGAATCCACTGAGAAAAAAACTGACGAAATAGTCCCTTATCTAACAATTTTTTTTGTGGCTAATTGGAAAAATTAATTAAAATTCATTATTTTTGCCTGTTTTTCAAACCAAATTTGAATTGATTTAAAACAGTTTTTTTTATGGTCAATCGGTGTGGTTTTTACAAAATCTTGAATTTGATTGGTTGGATACATTTGTTAATTCCGATTACAAGGACCAATAATAATCATTTCCTATTCACGTAATTACCATTAAGGTGAGAACAAACCGGTTTTTATTTCTTATTGGCCAAAATCCGACAAAAACCTAGCAACGATAAGTAACTCCACCCATTTAAAAAATCGTGAATAATTATTGATTTTTGAATCGAATTTTTATAACAAATCAGCGTTTAGTGTGAGTAATCTTACTTTAATTGGATCTAATTTTGCACAATGGGTGGAGCCAACCCCAGAGCCAATATGAATCATGCACTTTCGATTATTAGACCAATAAAAAATAAAAAATTATTCAATGCGTTAAAGTTGAGTGTCATTGTTCGATCCTTAGCCAATCAATTACGTCTTTTAAAGTCAACCAATCAGAACCACGTCTTAGATTTTTCAACAAGATTTTTTTTTTTTAAATTTAAATAATTTTAAAAATCTTCTTTGATTTTATTTTCAACCTAAAAAATAATTATTTAAAGGATAAATAAATGTCCAAACTGTCAAAATTTAACATTTTTGAAGATTTACATAACACTGTGAATTAAGTTTATTTATTGTGTACTAAAATTTGTATTTTGATCAATGTTTGATTCAAAAATACCGATTCGAGATTATATTCTAATTAGACAATAATGTACTTCTTAAGTCTCTGTGTTCTTATATCTAGTGTGAAATAATAATACGCTCGTTTCCCAAACAAACTGGATTTATTGAAAAATGGTAATTAACAAGACAGAGTGATGCGGACACTGCCGCCGTCGCAATTACACTGCCGGGCGTTGGCCTGTGCGCCGCACGCGTCACCAACTTCCCGCCAAAATTTGCCACCTTTTGCATAGTGGCGCCCCCTTCACTTTACAGTCGGCCACGCTTCCCTGTTCCACGTCCTCGGGGAACTACATAGTCTCCTAAAACAATGAAATACACGAATTATTGCATCTGAGCCGTAGTGTCTACAGCTCCCCCCTTACAATTACTTAAACCAACCTAAAAATAAAGATTACATATATCATCTCACGTTGAGATTCTGCTCGCACTCATGAGTTTTTAATTAACGTAAAGCGCTTAAATAACGTATATGGGCCCAAAATAAAACGCAAGTTCGCATAGAACTTAATCATTTATCCGGTTTTATAGCGAGTTGTTTCACTCGTCACTACCATCGTCTTCCGTTGCCACAGTTTCATCACCACTCGTAGTGGCGGCAACGTAAGGTTTTAGTTTATCCACAGAGTGAATACCTTCATAGTGTTTTTGGGAACGCGTCGRTCCCGGCATATCCGTCACAACATATCTGTCGTAGTCCAGTACCTTTCGTATTAGGTACGGTCCCGAGTACTTAGGTAATAACTTCCGACTTTTTCCATCGTTTGATGCTCGTACGGTTCGTACCAGAACGAGGTCTCCTTCAGTAAATTTCTTTGGAGCACAACGGCGTTTGTCGTAACGCTCTTTTTGCTTACGCTGCTCCACCTCAACACGCTGAGCAACGTCTGCCCGCGTACGTGGTAAATTCTCATCGTGAGTATCCTCTGCGATTACGTTAGAGAGGATTGCGTCGTTAGCATTTCGAYGCGTGTACCCCAACAGCAATTCGTATGGACTTTTACCCGTAGTTGAATTGGGTGTAGAATTAATACCCCAACTAACTCTACTTACAAAGTCATCCCATTTGTCTTCATTTTTCGAACTAGCTGCAAGTTGGGACAAAATCGTCCGATTTAACCGTTCCACTTGACCATTTGCTCGTGGTGTAGCGGTTGCGGTTAGTACTAATTTAACGTTTAAATCAGTACAGTACGTCTTAAACTTTTTACTAGAAAAACAAGCCCCTCGATCGGCTATAATACGTTTGGGTATACCAAACATTCCTGTAAGAGAAGCTAAAAAGGAAATGACAGGGCCCACCTTAGTACTAGGTACGGCCCTAAGAAAGACAAATTTAGTAAATGCATCGATAACTGCTAAAAGATAAGAATTACGTGATTCACTCTTCACAAACGGACCTAAATGATCTAAATGTAGTGTATCAAATGGTTGCGAATTCTTTGGTATAGGATTAAGGAAACCTGGTTGTTTTCCTCCTGCCTCCTTATTATATAGACACTCCAGACAGCTAGAAATATACTTACGAACATACTTCCGCATTGAGGGAAACCAATACGATTTTGAAACCGACGCTAATGTTTTCTCCTCTGCTAGATGTCCTATGCCGTCATGATGAGCTAGTAGAATCTGTCTTCTTACACTTTTAGGCACAACCCATTTTAATCCCGACTCGGTTTGTCGAAATACCCTACCGTCTTTCAATTTGTAATCTTTGTGAATTGTGCTCTCTTCCATGTTTGTCGGTGTTTTTCCCAGTATCTCCTTCAGTAATGCACAACGTGTGTCTTTCATCTGAACTYCAAGGATCCAGTCATCTTCATTAACGTTGATGTACAAGACTTCCAAAGATGGCTCCGAATGATCTAACAATGGATTCCTGCTCAAAGCATCAACATGAGTCATTTTACTCCCGGGTCTATATTCGACAGTAAAATCAAATTCAGAAGTCAACAACCACCATCTTCCAATTCGTGGAATGAGATCTCTCTTGGTAAGTGTRGTTCTCAACGCATTACAGTCTGTAATGACTTTGAACTGGAGCCCRAACAAATACACTCGATAATGCTTCAAGGAACAGACCACAGCCAATGTCTCGAGTTCGTACGAGTGATATCTTTGTTCCTCATTCGTCGTCTGCCGACTGAAGAACATAARCGGACGTAAAGTCCCATCTTCTTGACGCTGCAATAAGATACCGCCAATTCCCACTTTGGAAGCGTCAGTATGGAGTTCTGTCTCTGCCTTGGCATTATAAATGGCAAGAACCGGTCTATTCGTCAAAATTTCCTTCAAAGTCTGAAAAGCTCGTTCCTGTGCTTCTCCCCAAACAAACGAACTACCCTTCTTTAGAAGACTGGTTAAGCTACTTGCAATCGACGCATAATCTTTTACGTATTTACGAAAATACCCACACAGTCCCAAAAATTGTCTAAGCTTATGCACATCCGTTGGTTTGGGAAAAGCTGTCACGGCTTTAATCTTTGCCTCACCTGGCTTAATACCTTCCGCACTGAMTTCGTGCCCTAGATATTCTATTTGGCTCCCGAAGAAGCAGCATTTACTCATTTTTAGGGTCAATCCACACTGTCGTAAGGATTGAAAYACAGTTCGTAAATTGTTAATTCCCTCTTCAAAGTCTTGAGAAGGTATTAGCACGTCATCTATGTAACAAAAAGRAGTTTGAAAACGTAGCGAACCAAACACCTTATTCATAGTTCGTTGAAACACCGCTGGTGCATTAGCTAGACCAAAAGGCATTCGGACATACTCGTAATGCCCATCAGGTGTGACGAATGCTGTCTTTGGTATCGAGTCGGCTGCCATTGGAATCTGGTAATATCCGCATGCAAGATCTAGTGTTGTGAAAAACTTTGCTCCACTCAATTTGTCCAAATGTTCATCTACTCGAGGTAACGGAAATCGGTCTTTAACTGTCTTCGAATTCAATTGTCGATAATCAACACACATACGATGTTGTCCATCTTTCTTCCGCACCAACAGTATAGGACTCGAATATGGCGAGTCTGATTCCTTTATTATACCGCTACCTAGCAAATCGTCTACTATACCTCTTACAATTTCTCGTTCATGATGTGATAACCGATATGGACGATAAACCACAGGCTTATCATCTGTTAATGTTAATMTCATCTCTGTTACATTCGTGGTACCTAATTCGACTACATTCTGTGCGAAACAATCACGAAATTCATTGACAAGTTTTAACAATCGTTCAAACTGTCCTGGCTCGATATTTTTATTAACTTGTGGGAGAAGTTCCCAACGTTCAAACGGCCTTAACTCTACCTTCCCCACAGAAAAGACACTCACCGAAGCAGTAGTCCTCTCCAGCTCACAGAGTTCAGCTCTCACGACTATCTGCCCCTTCTTGTAAACCACGTTTTGGTGTGAAAGGTTGCATACAGACACTAGACCTCCATCACAAGTGACACACCGATTGACAATGTGTTCCATCCTTGGTATGGGCCGCTGACTGGCCTCCACGTAGAACGCTAACTTTCAATTAAACGTCTTTTGTCTTAGTCCTGATACACCCTATAGATTGAGGAGGAATCACGGTTTCCTCGTCAGCCCACAGAGCTACTTTGCGTAGTGGAAATTGTTCTAACAATGCTCGAATGGGTTCATTTTCCCTGTCTACAACTCTTACAGCTTCTGCGTTGGCTATGATCGTATTACCACCTGCATTCAGAAAGGTCTGACCAACGATAACAGGCACACGTTGTGCGCTGTCATCGACGATTAAGGCTTTTACGTTTGCCTTTACCAAGTCGACCTCTAACTTCACTTCGACCTCTCCATAGACTTTGGTGATCCCCTGTCCATAGCCCCGAATCAGCTGTAGGCTTGGCTTCCATGTAAGACCCAGATCTGCAGCGACGCTACGCTTAATGAGCACTGGTTCTGCCCCCGAGTCAATATAGGCTCGCGTCGGCTTATCATTGACTTTGATGTCTATATAATAATTCTTATTACATTCGTAATTAGCCACTTTTGTAGTCAGGGCTTGCTTAGTTGGATTTTCTTTAGCACCGCGTCGGCACTCTACATCCAAATGTCCAATTCGACCGCATTTCTTACACTCSATCCTAGGCTTTGAACATTTTGCTGCAACATGCCCTCGCTCGCGGCAATTGTAGCACCYGACTATAGTATACGGTTTTTGATGCTCCGCTCTGGTAGACYCGAATCGCCTCCTTTCTCGATATACRCTTGTTTGTGTTATTTCTCGCCTTCCTCCCTCAGACCTTAAGGTGGACAAGTACTCGGCGTACAAACTCTCAGGAGTGGTATATCGCCCCGCTCTAGCTCCGTTTCTAAGAGTAACATCAGTAATACCATCAATGAGACAGGAAACTGCATTTGTTCCTGTTATGTCACAAGCCTGCAACAAATTTAATTTTCCGAAATAATACTGAGCCCAAGTTTCTCCATCCTCTTTCACCCTGTTTACCAGCTTACGTAACGTAGAGGCATAGTCATGATGATCTGGGAATGTGGCCTGCAGCAGGCGTTTCCACTCTTCCCAGRTCCTATCATACGCTGATGGSTCAAGATTATCATACCAATCTTTTGCGAGTCCCTTCAATCGACTGATCATATTATATATTGTCGTGCGCTCGTCCCACGCATTGACGAGAGCCAGTTGGTCGATCTTGTGTATCCACTTATCTGAGCTAAGATTAGGATTTCCTGGCGAAAATTCGGGAATTAAATCGCTTCTGGCGCTCACGGCCCTCGATGTGCCTGCAAAATTCGGATTTGACAGTCGTTGACTCAGATTCTCCACCAATTGTTCCAGTCTGGCGATTCTCACTGTCTCCGCCGAAATTGGGGGTAAAATCGTGCTTGAAACCCCAGCCCCAGGTGCAGCTCTTTTTGGACGGGGCTCATCATCACTAGAGTCGGAGTCGTCCGAGTCCCCATTTGTACGGTATCTGTGGCGTCCCATCGTGAAAAAGTGCTAAAATGAAAAATTAAGTTTTCGGCCACACCCAAACGCACGCAAAAAAAAAAACTGGCTGACGTGTGCTTGCGTAACCTCGTAGTTGGCTGTTGGGCCGTACACTAACCACCCACAATCACCAAATCACCACTCTCCCGGAAAGTTGAGCAGATCCCACCGCTGCTCTGTGAAATAATAATACGCTCGTTTCCCAAACAAACTGGATTTATTGAAAAATGGTAATTAACAAGACAGAGTGATGCGGACACTGCCGCCGTCGCAATTACACTGCCGGGCGTTGGCCTGTGCGCCGCACGCGTCACCAACTTCCCGCCAAAATTTGCCACCTTTTGCATAGTGGCGCCCCCTTCACTCTACACTAGTAAAGTACAAAATCGCTAAATTAAATCTGAAATAATTTTCAGCTCCAAATTAATTGTTTTTAATTATTTTTCTAAATTTAGAGCGTTTTTTTCACAGAGAAACTTACTGAAGTAACAAAATTTTCTCAAGAGCAGACATAAAAATGCAAAATTTAGTCTAAATTGTGTTTTTCTGTTTTTTTATCTACGATTTGTTTTTACATTTGCAAATTGTTTGTCTAAAATATTATTTAACAGCCTTTTTTAATGGAAAAATTCTTCAAATTAAAAAATTGATAAACTAGTTTTAAAATGTATTATTTTCTATAAATTTCAGTTTTTTAGCGAGAAACTCACTAAATTTAAGCAGTTTTATTTACGTTATTTTCGCCTTTTTGCATATATTCACAAATTTTTCAAAAATTATTTATTTTTTGGAAAAAACAAAAAATTTTGATATTTTGAGTAAAATCGACGTACCCATTTAACATATTTACTAGCAGCATTTGTAAAAAAACAAAAAAATCGATTTTCAGATTTTACGAAATGTAATTATCAAGTTCGCAAATTACAAAGTCCTGCAAATTTCAAATCGCTGATTTTTCGTATTTTAGGACGCAAAACAGTTTTTCACTGTAACGTAAAGAAAACTAAAGAAAATAATGGAAAATATAATAAATTTAAACAATTGTAGAGAATTTTTAAAATAAAATCATTGTATTTTTGTTCATTAGTATACAAAAATCTATTTTAAACTTTGACATGAGCTGAGAAAATGCTTTGGGAGACTTGAAAACTTCAAATAAACTATCAAAAATTGTTGCCTTTTGTAAATTTGTGTTGAAATTTTATATACTTTTTCGAATTTATTTTTGATTTTAATAATTCTATCCGGGATTTCTGAGAGGAAAAACTGATATCTGATACCTGATGGATTTTTTTACTACTTTTTTAGACTTATTTATTTTTGCTTTTTATCCTGGAATTTTAAATTAGTTCCAACCACTTATACAATCACACTTTTTTATTAGTCATTTTGAAAAAAAAAAAAAATTAAGCGTAAAAGAAAAACGAAAATTTTGCACCTCGTTTTTCTATTTTTTGTTACCCAAATATTAAAAGTCTAATTTATTATTTTCAATTATACCAAAGAAGATTCCTAAAAAAATGAATGTCTTGTAAATAAAACAAATTAACTTAAGAAATTTGAAGCGACAATAACTCTGGAATTAGTACACATTTTTGCAATTTAATCAAAATTGCTTGGAATTACTGAAATTATTTGTGAATTAGTGGAGTTCTTTTTGGAATCGCTAGAATTTTTTTGTAATTATTGGAGATATTTTTTTTGAAAAACGTTGAATTTTTTTTCGAAACAATGTTTGTTTCTTGAAATTTCAACAATTGTGATGATGAAAATTAATTAATTAATTAAAGCCCCTGTGTGTTTTATAGAGTTGTTGTTGTAAATGAAATTAATGTTTCGATTTATGTTCCTTGTGATAGGGTTTAAAACCCACTTTAAATTTGTAACATTCCACCTTATATTTTAATTAAAGTAATTCATTCAAATTAATAAGTTTAAATTCTGTGCACGTTTACTATTAAATTCCACCCGTTCCCTGCACATTCTCTATTATATCTATCAGTGCCCTAACCCACGTTGGTATGTGTTGTTAACAACATACATTGTTAGCTAATTACTCCTTGTCCAAAATCGTTAAACTAAATTCCTCATTTCTTATTTAGGGAAAACTCGAGCTCATTATTACGTAAATGTTTTTCTCATCCGTTCATTAATATTCACTGTCGCTGACAGAACTCAACTCAGACAATTTATTCTTCAACTTGAAAAGTTTCTTTCTTTGAAATAATTAACAGAATTGAATTTTTTCTATATATTGCTTGTCCTCGCAAACTCGATAAAATTGTTTACTTTCAATTTATACGGGTGATACATTCCACATGAGGCATATAACCTTTTCCTTTGGATATTTTTTATTGGATTTGAACCTCAGGAGGCGATTGATGTTTACTTCATATCACAGAATTCGTAGATATGTTTTATTTACTGTAAGTTACTGTAGTCCTCGAAACGAGTGTCTCTTGAGGATTTATTATCTAACGAAGCATCACAAAATGTATGATATTGATGCCAACACAAGCTTATGTTACGAATTTCTGTTTTCTTTTTATTAATTAAACGGTGATTACGACGAATCCGATTTTAATTGTTATTATCAGGGCCGGAATGATGGTTTTTACTGTTATGTTTTCTTCTTCATTACTCAGGTAATTATTTTCTTCGCTTCTCACAAGAGCAGAACTAAGGAAACTTCCACATGTTTTCAATCCTTAAAAATAGCTATATTCCAAAAACTCTGGAGGAATTTTACTCAACCTTAACCCATTTCGGGTGAATTACATTTTGTTTACAATTAATTTGATAAATAAAGCCTTCGTACTCAAATATTTTTTTTAATTTTTATAAAATAATTTCACTTAATAAATTTTTGTGTTTCATAGACAACTTGAAAAAAAATAGATTTTACAAAAAAATATTGTGTGATCAAATGAACAGAAATTTAGATAAGTTGCTATGAATTGAATCTCATTTTATTAATAATAATTCATGTAGAACTGTTCAATTTTTTATTTTTTTGTCAGTTTTGTGTCAAAATAAGCCCTAAAAATCAATTTGTAAATTTATACAGGCTGTCTCAGCGAATTGAAAAAGTCAATTAATTAAAAAAAAAATTATAGGACGTTTATAGATATTAACCTAAAATTATTTTCAACGATACAGCATGTTCCAAAAATATATATAATTATGTCGTTTTTATTTAGTCGTATATGTATTAATTTTAGTATGTTTTTAGCAAGAATTAAAGAAAAAACTTTGTTTTAACTTAAAAACGCAACTAAAGGTTTGAAAAAAGCAAAAATGACATCATTTTCGAATTAATTACGTCATTTTTCGGCTTATTTTGACGAAGTTTTGTGCTTTTGATTGAAAAATCTGATAAAACGTTTGGAAAAGCAACTAGATGGTTTTTTTTCGGCTCAAAACGTGCTTAAACTCTCCAAAGAAGCAAAAATAATTTTAGTTTCGTGAGAGTTTATTCATTTTTTACTTCACTTTCGACGAAAATTTTCAAAACAATTGCGATTCTGACTAAAAAACGTCCTAAAACGGAAAAATAGTATTATTTTTGAACAAAATTTTTAGCACAATCTAAAAAAGTAAAAATAACACTATTTTTGAGTAAATTTAGCGATTTGTGACAAAATAATTTTGTAAATTTTTAATTGAAAAACGTGCTAAAAAGCTCAAAAAATTATAAAAATGGTCATTTTCAACGAAATTCGGTAATTTTTCAATATGTTTTAACAGAAATCTTACAAAAAAGTGATGTAACGTTAAATATCTTTTTAGTTATTGATTATAAACACCTACAAGTAAATAATTTTAGAAAGACAATTTAATAATCTTTTAAATGCAAAAACAATAAATAGGGTGTTCCGTTTATTTTTTTAAGTTATTGAACTTTAAAAAAACGAGTTAATTTTTTTATCTTTGCAAATGCAACACACTAAAAAATGTTACAATCTTATAGCTTGTACCTTCTTCTTTGCAGTAGTAAAAAAATATTTCTAGTTGTCTTAGTTTTTGTGTAATAAATTTTTAAAAAGTGCATGTTTTCGTCAAAAAAACCGTTTTATTTTTAAAACTAAGCAAAATGGACCAATAAAAGTTTAGCTTAAAAACATTGTCATAAAAGTTTACATCTAAAAACGCTGAAACTATAAAAACACAAGTTTGTATATTAACTTATTTTTAAGACACGCTGTATAGTTAAAAAATAATTTTAGGCGAATCAGTTAAGATTTCAAAAGGTGTACAAGAAAACAGGTAAAGTTTAGACCTCCAAACCCTAGGTTTTTTTAGAAAGCTTATTAAAAGCTCTACACGATAAAGTAATAACATACAGGGTGTTTCATAAAAAAATCAAGATAATTGATATTTTGCGAATGTCAACACTTGCAAAAGATTGATTGAATTTCTACCATAATAATTTAGGACCAGACTCAGCAAAAATTGTTGCAATTGTTTTTATTCATCTTTTCTTTCTAGCAAAGCCGTTGTGATTTTTCAAAAATGATATTGTATTTTTCATAAAATTGCCCATAAATGGTAAACGGTCCATGATAGACCCATAAAACCTAATATGGATATTCTTAAAATTAAAAACTCTTTCAAATAAGCGCATAATATACCGGGTGTTCCATAAGAAAAAATACAACTTTTTTGCGCCACCCTGCATAGGAAATATCTATAATGACGAAAATATTTTTGAACCATAGAAAATATGAATGTCTATCGTCCAAAAAAAACCGCATTTCGTTATCTTGTTTACTGTCAAAGTAATCAAAGAAATACGGAGCTCTGGGACACCCTGTATAGCATGTAATATACATGTAAAAAATACAAATAGCAGAATCATTAAAATTGAAAACAGACCAGCCAACTCTGCTTTACACAAAGAGCTTTTAATAATTTATGCAGCAGGTAGTTTCCCAACTAGACGAGAGAGTATTTTATTTTGGTTCAGTTTGTGTGGTCCGTATATTTCTCATGGAGCAATTTGTCGGAAATTATCTGCACTAAATTAACAAACCGTGTGAGGATTTAATATGGGTCAATCAAGTGTGCCCTATCTCGAATCCAATTATATCGAAACGAACACACCGTATCGTAACAGTTTAACGAGGGTAACTATTAGAATGTTAAAATGTTCAGATTGGGAGATAAAACGCAAAATATTATTTTGGGCCCGAAATTAATCCAACCAAATTGGCGAAAAAAATTCAAGTTAAACT